GAGGACTAGTCAATCCGATTCCGACCGGACACAGGTGAGGTCTTATATCAAGACCTACCTAGTGGCGATAAAAGCGGCAAAGTCTAACCACTTTTCCGCTCTTATCGCATCTGCAGAGAACTGCCCAGCCACCTTGTTTAGGGTGACCCACTCCCTTCTTCGGGGGGGAGTGCAGGAAGATCCCTTGCAGGGTCGTGCTGAGGATTTTGTGCAATTCCTGCATGATAAAGTCGCTTGGATTCGGGATGGCTTGGACTCCGACTGGATGAGTCCACGGGAGGAGACGAGGGCAGGTCTTGAGAATGTTATCTAGGAGGAGTTTGATCCTGTGACTCCCGAGGATGTGGACAGGGTCCTGGGTAAGATTAGTGCCGCCACGTGTTTATTGGACCCGTGTCCCTCCTGGTTGGTGCTGGCCTCCCGGGAGGTTACACGAGGCTGGCTCCAGGGGATTATAAGTGCTTCTCTGAGTGAGGGTGCCTTTCCTGCCACCTTGAAAGAGGCGGTAGTGAGGCCCCTCCTCAAGAAGCCTTCCCTGGACCCGGCTGAATTAGCCAACTATCGTCCAGTCTCCAACCTTCGTTTTGTGGAGAAGGTTGTTGAGAGCGTGGTGGCACGACAACTTCCCCGGCACCTGGATGAAGCTATCTATCTGGACCCGTACCAGTCGGGCTTCAGGCAGGGGTACAGCACAGAAACGGCATTGGTCGCGTTGGTGGATGATCTCTGGAGGGCTCGGGACGGGGTTGCTCCTCTGTCCTAGTCCTATTAGACCTCTCAGCGGCTTTTGATACCATCGACCATGGTATCATGCTGCAGCGGTTGAGGGGGTTAGGAATAGGGGGCACCGTTCTGCGGTGGTTCTCCTCCTTCCTCTCCGACCGCTCGCAGTTTGTGTTGGCAGGGGGACAGAGGTCGACCCCGAGGCATCTCGCATGGGGAGTGCCGCAAGGGTCGGTCCTCTCGCCTCTCCTGTTCAACATTTATGTGAAGCCGCTGGGAGAGATCATCCGTGCTTTTGGGGTGAAGTGTCACCTGTACGCTGACGATACTCAGCTGTACATCTCCACCCCAGACCACCCCAACGATGCCCTTGATGTGATGTCCCGCTGCCTGGAGGCCGTGCGGGCCTGGATGGGGAGGAACAGGCTCAGACTCAACCCATCCAAGACCGAGTGGCTGTGGCTTCCGGCGCCCCGATATAGTCAGCAGGTGCCATCGCTGACTATTGGGGGTGAATCTTTGCCCCCCACAGAGAGGGCTCGCAATCTGGGTGTCCTCCTGGACGCACAGCTGTCTTTAGAAGAGCACATGACGGCCGTGGCCAGGGGGGCCTTTTATCAGGTTTGCCTGATTCGCCAGTTGCAGCCCTTTCTGGATCGGGACGCCTTGCGCACGGTCACTCATGCCCTTGTCACCTCCCGGTTGGACTATTGTAATGCTCTCTACATGGGGCTCCCCTTGAAGAGCACTCGGAGGCTCCAACTGGTCCAGAATGCGGCCGCGCGGGTGGTTATCGGTGCAACTCATTGCGCCTACGTGACATCCCTTCTGTGTGAGCTGCACTGGCTCCCAGTGGTCTTCCGGGTGCGATTCAAGGTGTTGGTTACCACCTTTAAAGCGCTCCATGGCATAGGACCCGGGTACCTTCGAGACCGACTTCTGCCACCAATAGCCTCCCACCAACCAGTCCGCTCCCACAGAGAGGGTCTCCTCAGGGTGCCATCGGCCAAGTTATGTCGGCTGGCGACACCCAGGGGGAGGGCCTTCTCTGTGGGAGCCCCAGCCCTGTGGAATGAACTGCCCCTGGAAATACGTAAGATCTCCGACCTCCGGGTGTTTCGCTGCGCTTTGAAGACCCTGTTGTTCCGCCAGGCCGGGCTATTAACATAACATTTTTAATTGGGGTATTCTAAATTTCTGGGATTTTAATTGGAGCCTAATTATTTAATGATTTTAAATTTTTTTTTTTTTTGTTCCTGTGTTTTTAAATAGGCTGTACACTGCCCTGAGTCCTTCGGGAGAAGGGCGGTATAGAAATAAAATAATAATAATAATAATAATAATAATAATAATAATAATAATAATAATAATAATATTATTATTATTATTATTATTATTATTATTATTATTATTAACCAGTAAGCTTATTATGAAATCCCAGCAAGCTTACTATGAAATCCTATAGCACTAGCCAGGTTATTTTAATTGATGAAAAGCAAGTTTAGGCTAGCAATGTTAAATGGATGTTATAAAAATGACTATTGTTGAACCTGGCCAGCATTCATGCTTCTTTCTGATAATTAGCAAAGGAATCAGGTTGCAAGCACCAATGAATTAGAATTCACAGTTTTATGTCAAATTATTACCAAAATATTGGAGAAAGGGAGAGGGAAACCTGATGAGAAATAGTAGCATATTTCATACAGCATATTTGGATTGTTCTTGTAATCTTGTATTTTTTTTATTGTTCTTTATACTCAGCATATCATTGGCATTTTAAATAAACCACTACTAGAAATTGAATATACATTATATTAATTAATTTATTTCTATCCAAATGTTCAGTGGAACTAAGTAGGATCTTCCATCCAAGCCCAGATTTGTTTTCGTGTAAAGTTGTTAGATGCATTCCGATCATTACAACTGATCTAGATGAACAGCATAGAGCCATGCAAGGTATGTATATTAACTGTTCAAGCATTATTTTATGGATCTGAAATTAAAGGTGAGCAAAACAATTCAAATTGGAAAATATTCAAATCTGAACCAACCATTTCCAGTTTCAAATTCCTTTTGAATTCTGCATACATAAGAATTGGATAATGGGTGAGAAATGGAAGATAGAAGCCTGGATTGGTAAAAAGTACAACTTTGTTAATGTAAAGTTTAAACAATAAGAAAAATAGTCTGCACCCTTGCTTAATCCATTTGTGATGGTGAATAGGCTTTGTTACATCATCAAAATCAGTGCCTTTAATTTGCAGAGTGGTGTCATAGTGTAACTAGATAATCAAATTAAGTAGACAACAATCAATCAATGTGTTAGCTTGTTTCCTTCAAAGTTTTTCTTGGGAAATGGAATAAAAAACTGCCTTTAAGTCAGTAAAAGCTGCAAATCCCACCTCCCTCTATTCGGAAGTTTATAGAATTTTTCTGCCAAGTGATGTAACTTTAGGCACTGATTTAATCAAATGTCCATCACTAAATACAAGCTATTTTATGTACCCAATCTCTCAAAACAAAAATTGAAATTAAAAAGAGAGGAAAAATTACTTATGTCCATTCAGAAATGTCATTCTGTGTTGGGATGGTAATGGAGACTAAATGCATTTCCATATGAATTTTCCTATGAGTTCCTGAGCATTGTTTTGTACTCTTCAATCAAAAGTTATCTGGAAAAAAGAGCAAATATAGCAAATTACAGACCTATCTGAAAAGCCTCAATTTTCCTTCTGATTAAATTAATCAAAGCTATGGCACTCCAGTCCTTCTGCACATAATATAAAATGTCAGTGAGAAAATTAAGTTAAATGAACCATTCTATATAACTCTTATGAATGGAAACATTTTTCCATGCATGAAGCACATTTTTCAAATCTTCCTACTATGTGATATGATATTTTCTAGTTTGTGACATACATTATGCTGTAATTTCTTGGTAGATGGTAGGTATTTGATAGGTTAGGAAACATCTGTGTAGCATCAACTAATGTCATTCTCCACTTTTCCCTTTGATTTAGCCTTTATTTGGATATTATTGTCCCTTGCTGTTCAATATCTCTTACTAATATGTACCTATATACATATAGGTACCAGAGAAACAAAGCAGAACAAATGCAACAATTCAAACAAGGTATTGAGTCACTCATAAGTCAGTCTAATTTTGAAATTGTGATCTGGCTCAGTATGTAACAAAGAAGTTATGACCCTGGCAACAGCAGAATAGATCTTGTGGAAAACTACAGGAACGATGGCTTTTTTAAAGGGATCACCTATGTCCATACTAATCACAGCCAACCAATCTTAGTTTCAACAATCCTTCAATAATCTTACCCTTCCTTTCAGTGAATGCTCTGAGCATTATGTAACCACATTTATGAAATAAGTAAATAAGTAAATAAATAAATAAATAAATAAATAAATAATAAAATAATAAGCAAAGCAAAGCAAAGCAAAGCAAAGCAAAGCAAAGCAAAGCAAAGCAAAGCAAAGCAAAGCAAAACAAAACAAAACAAAACAAAACAATAAAATATGGATTCATAATATTGCCAAGCAAATGAGAAATGGGAAAAGTCACATTATCAAATTACCATTCTTGATTTCATTGGAACACATTTATATTTTAAAGATGCTTAACATTTTTCTATTAAAAATCTACCCACAAAAAGCTCCAAAGAATGTTGAACTGACATGTAATTTGCTGATTGTTAAGCCAGTAATTTAGCACACCTAGCACATGCAAGAATGAATGAATTTTAATATTTATTAAATATTTCCACTTCTTGTATACAATGTAGATGAAGGCCATAACTGCGGCCATAACATTTTCTCTTTTCCAGCATTTTAACATTGCTACTATCACTTGTTTCTTAATATGGACAGCTAATATCATGAAGAAATGCTATGTCACTCTGCAAATTGTTTGCAATATTTTTAAAGAAGTCATTAGGTCTTTGCTGAGATCAAGGAAAATGGTGGAGGTGGGGAGAAACAATGTATGTGGATGGGATTTTCAGTTTGAACATTATAGATGTGACAGTAACACAGATGCACATGTTGGAGCTAATGTTGCTTCACACATTTTTGTGCCTGTGGTGGGATTGCTGTGTAAATTTTTGACTCCGTCAGAGTAGTGCCTAATCCTTCTAGGGGCTGGACTTTCTATTTCAGTCTCCCCTCCCTACAGTCAACTCTTTGCGAGGTCATTCCAATGAGAATGAAGCAGGAGGTGACATGTCTCCTATCTCTCTTTTCTGTGTGCTAAAGAGAACTGGTGCTGAATTTAATCTGCCTCTGCCAGGGCTCAGGGATATTTTATTTATTTATTTATTTATTCATTCATATACACATGTAATATGTGTATATGACTAGCCACATAATAAAAACGTGACTTTATTAGGACATCAGCAGCAGAAGGGAAAAAAAAGTACACGTGCTTTCAAGAGATTGAGCTTGAAAGACCCCTGTAATCACAAGGACCTGAAGAGGACGCTCATTGCGAAAGATCGGGAAGGAGGGATCAGTACCGCGGACAGCTCCCCACGGAGCCCTCATTAGCCCAGAATCTGCGAAGCTGCGAGCACCACTTCACTCCATCTCCGCTCTCTTCCCGGGACGAAAAAAAAAGGGTGGGGGGAGTTTGCGCGCGCGAGGGGGGGGATACGTCCAGATCCAGGCTGCTGCATACATCATCTAGACGACGCGAATCAAGCGTCCAAGTCGGTACTGCAAAGCATAGAACCTCTTTTTATTGGATCTCCAACTGAGGCGAAAAACACGCCCTGTCCTGGGGCGCCGTGGCCTTGTGGACTGTGGATATCCCTGGCTGCTAAAGAACAGAGAAAAGTTTCACCGGAGGGAGGGGGAGGAGACCATTCCTTGTCTCCCCACCCCAGAGAAGGCGAATGTCTGGTTTTAGTAGCTGAACTGGTAGGAATGATGACCGAGAGAGGATGTGCACCAGCAGCCAGATCATCGGGAGCCTCCTGGTGTTATCCATGCTGGAGATAGGGCTGGGAGTCTCTAGCGTGGCCGTGGGGGCAGTCAGCTTCAGCCTCGTTCTTGCGGGTTCTGAGCGTTCAACTCAGCTGGGAGACTCTTCTCCGGTATGGAGCGGGGTGTGTGTACGTTAGCTATTTCACTCTCTTTTAACTCTTGATGGTGAATGCAGTCTGCTCTCGAATCCCCTTTCTTTTGTGCAGCTCTCTTTTCTTTCCTCTCCCCCGCTTTTCTTGCATGCTTTGTGTAGTTTTGACCTGCATGATCCAAGCCAAGAAGCTGCTTCTCTAATTCCTACAATGCATTTTAGAGCAAAACCTGAACTTTATTGGAGCAAGCCTATGGAAGGCTATCCTCCCCTCCCTTCAAAGCCACAGAAGACTGGTGCCCACATACTGCAGGGCCAAAAAATTGGGGATGTCAAACTCTGCCCTCTCCAACCACACTCTATGCTGATGATATAAAATAACCCTGTTCCAAACATCTGACAGTTTCAAGTCAGGATAAATAAATGCCTATGTGAAAAATATACATTTTTGAAAAATTGGAAGATCTGAGAGTTTTGAAGCCCTGCATTATATACTTGTGCTGAGGCAGAACTCCTATATCTTCTACTTAAGGTTTCACTAGCAATTCAACAGGCAACTCTACATTTGGGAGAATTCATTTTTCATTGTGGCATCTTATATTGTTGATCAATTTCTTGGTAAGAAAAGCAAATAAAATGCTGATGTTTACATTGTATTCAGTTTCATTGTGTTCAATTTCATGAGCTGAACACTTACAACACAAGCTTTGGTAACCATAGTCTTAAACTCTATTTCCATAGATATTACTAATAATTTAAATTTAATTTAGTACTAAATTACTAAAGTATTAAAAACTACTAAAAAGGTAAGATTTAAATATGCTTAATTTTCTAGATAGTGCTCAGTACTGCTTAAGGTTACAGTGATGGCAATAATAATTAAACAGTCTCATTGAAATGGAACTTTTGTCCGGAAGAGGAGGAATAAGTTGACTGAAGAATTTACTTTCCAGTTATATTTCCTGTAAATATAACATGAAATTCACAATTTTAATTTTAATTTGCTAGAAACAAATAAAAAGAGAAATGATATTTTCATAACCTGAACTGTTTTTTTTTAAAGGCAACCAAATGGAAATAAATGCAAAATTATTTGTAAAATTTCTACCTCTTTGATAGAATGAAAAATAATGCAACAATGCTTATGAGTGCATATACTCTCTTGTTTTAAACCAAAGCTTGTGTGTGGTTTTGTGGAGCAGGAAAAGTATTTATAGATAATTGTGATAACTAGGACTCATATCTTCATATGTTTAGACTGTATCAAATATTTTTGTGCAACTGAACCGGGAAGTAGTCAGGCCACCTCCAAGGGCAACCAAGATGGCTGTTGGGATTGTACCAATCCCACTCTTTTTATTTTTTTAAGTTCACAAATTAGGCACAAATTAATATTGTCCTGTTGATATTGTTCTATTTGAAAGCGGATCCTGAACCTGCAGGAATATGCTACGAAGAAGAAGAATATTGTTCTATTTGTAGTTTTTAGATTTAGCCCTGCATCTATTATGCTACTATATAGTTTAAGAAAGATATTTCACTTTTTTCCCCTTTGCTCAGTGGCTAAGACACTGAGCTTGTCATTCAGAAAGATTGGCAGTTGGGCGGTTTGAATCCTTAGAATAGGTCTCCTGTGTGAGCAGGGGGTTGGACTACTAGATGACTTCCAAGATCCCTTCCAATTCTGTTACAGTTACTGTTACTTGTCTCTGTGCATACATATGTGTTCAGAATTGTGGGTCTCCTACATAAGCAGCATATTGATTGTTGCACCATATTCATTTCCACTGCAAAATGGCTTTTTGTGAATGACCTGTGTATATCCTTCTCCATGAATTCTGTATCCTTAATAAGGGGAAGAAAAAAAATAGTGTGACTACAGATGGCTTGTAAATTTAGCATTTTCACCAACCAAACTGGTGTTCTTATGGATCTCCAGCTTTTATCTTCCAAATTGTCTTTCTCAAGGAGTTTAGGAAATTGCCACTTTCTATATTTTACTAAAGTGTTCTTAGCATTACTTCAGATGTAAAGCTCCAGTAGTTGCTTGGGACAAGAAAGGATGCTGAGTTTATTTACATAACTAAATATCCCCTAATCTCTGGCTTCTAAAAGACTAGTTAATGTAACACCTTCATATGAATGGCTAGTGAGAATCAAACCAATAATCTGACTTTTTATGACCCTAGTATAAAGCCAATGGTTTTATAATTAGGGTCATATTACATTTTAAATAATAATTTAGTTTGTATGATTTCATGTGCAAGACATCCTTATATTGTGATTTCATATAATATGCTAAGCCATAAACCCTAATTTATAACAGAAATGACTGGATTCAAACAATAGGCAATTCTGCTCTTAATCCACTGTCTATATAGTCTAGGAATTCAGTTCATTAATTTGAAGAACCCCAACTAAGTTTAATTTGGGGTGTGTGTCAAAGCTTAATTCAAATAATAGGCTTGATTAGCCAGTGCTATGATTTCAACTATGATAGACTCAGGTAACAAAAATAGGACAAAGCAAAAATCCAAAAATGAATAACTTCTGAGGCATCAGCATTATGGCAAGGCTAATTTGCATCCACTTATTTTCTAAAAATAACATAACATAAAAATGCAAAGACCTTTGACCCACTTGAGTTTTCAAATAGCTATCGCTGGATAGAAGCCCAGTTTCACACCTAAGGGGCTAGCAGGAAGGTTACTATGGAAACCTTACATCTGAATACCTCACTTTACATAGATAGAAATAATCCATATCCCTATTTCATCTACTTCCTTACAAACTACAATGATCCTCTGAAACTATAATATAACATGTTTTCTTATTTATTTGCATCTTTCCTACCTGTCTTACAAATTGCTTTAGCAAACTCCACGTGATATAATCCAAAGGCCCAGAAGAGAATTATAAAATACCAAATAACAATTTAATAAATCATCACAGCCTGTAAATGTTAAATGTATCACTTTAGAATTATTAACATGAAATCAAAATCTATATCACTAAATGTGTTAGTTAAAAACAATGTGAATTTTAAAAAAATTCAGACATGTTTTCCAAAGGCTAAAGCAGATAAAGCAAGGCAGAAAGAGGATTATTTTTTTTAGCATAGTCCATGTTGTTCAGTCGCTAAGACCACAGCACACCAAGCATGGTCCTTACTTACCATTATAAAAATTATTCTTACCAATAATAACAACAGGATAGACAAAAGGTACCATATAGCATGAAGATATTCCAATTCTCAGTTTATACTGATGTTTTCAAAACCTTTCATTAATTAATCTTGATATCTCGGTTCTGAAGAACTATTTTTTCAAATAATGAATATTCATAAATAAAAATTAATGAAACTGTTTAATTGTGCACAAAAATGAATAGCATACAATTAATAAAGTTTAGTTTAGTTTAGTTTAGTTTATTAGATTTGTATACCGCCCTACTCCCGAAGGACTCAGGGCGGTGAACAGCCATGAAATAAAACATATCAATACAAAATTTAAAATAGAAATAAAACAAGTTAGATAAATAAAGTCTTAACAAAGGTGGTTAACATATCCTATTAGCCTCCTATTAGAATCAATATTCAAACTGGTAGATGGAACCATCTCTGACAATAGGAATGTAACTGGACTATTTAGAAATCTTAATTCTAAAAGCAAAAGAACAGTGGTTTTGTTATCAGTAAATAGAATCACATTTATTTATATGTGTATATATATATATATATTGTGATACTTGAACCACATGATATTCATAAGTATTATATCAAAATATATTCTGTACTGTCAGATAGGAGCCACTGCCCACGAGAATAAAGATTTCCTGAACTACATGTGTAAAAAATCATAAAATTGAAAAGGGCATTACATTTTTGGGTACAATCCTCTGCTCAATGTTAAAGCATCCCCAATCAATGAATTGCTAACCTGTATTTGAACACATTCAATGTGTTCAATGTGTTCAAACACATTGAAATTAATACGTTTCAATGAAACTTTCAAGAATTGCTTTATTATGAAGAGTCGTGCCCCCCCCCCTCAAACATTTAAACTGCCTTCCTGTATTCAGTAATCCATGTCCTCTACTCTGGACTGATACAAGGCTAGATTATTTTCCTGTGTGGTTTCTTTTCAGATATTTGAAGACTCCTCCCTCAATCCTCTCAAAGTATATATCCTGGTTCTCTCAATTTCCTTTTATAGGAATTAGATCTTTATTGTCTGTGTTAGAACTTTCTTCAGTTTGATATGGTCCTATACCATTTAGGAGTTTTAGCAGAGCAGAATAGAGTGAAATAATGATTTCCTGTGGTTTGGAAACTCTTATTCTGTTGATACAGCCTACACTTCAATTTGCATTTTGGCAGCCTTGACACATTGCTGACTCATACTCAATTTATATCAACTCCTTCTCTGGGATGTTTTCTTCAAATATTATTAGAGGCCAGGTTAACCCCATTCTGTACCTGTATATTGATTTCCTTTTCTTAAACGAAGAATTTGCTATATGCTATTTGTATTCCATTATGTACTTTTCAGATAATTTTTAATTATATCTATAAGTGTATACATTTTCTGCTGTCTGAAAAGACTGAAGAAAATTCCAGTAAAATGATTTCTGAATAAGTATGCATATTGCACTAAAAAATCAAATTCAGATAAATTTATGGAGCTTGTTAGCCAGACCAATCTAATATTTAAAAATATAAACATGTACCTATAAAATATCTTAGAGTACATGTTTACATTTATTTTGAAATTGAATTCCATTCAATTGTAAGATATACAGGATATTGTAAATTTTCATGCTTCTTCAAAGTATTTTGCATTGCACAAGCAATGTGGTTCACCTCAGATTATGGAGATGACATGGTCTGTCTATAGGAGTTCTGACATGTAGCAGCTGTAGTAGCAAAAAGAGGTTTCTGCACATGTGTCACACAGAAATAGCTGGAAATGGTGAATATAGTGATTGGCATTTCCAGATGAGGCCTAACAATTCACAGTCGTTTTCCAGACACAATATTTTGTAAAGAAGATTCAAGGAGGTGCTTTGCATAAATCATCTAAATATAGCATTTCTTTAGCTTTGTGAAACTCTTCTGATTATTAATATAGCAAAAAAGAAGAGGAAAATGTAAGAAGTTTCATTATCTTAGAAAACACTTAGACAACTAATTTTATAAAGCCAAACTTTGAGATGATTCTAATGGTTTATAGAAAAAGGAATTTAATCATAGATCAATCATTCCATTAATCAAATCTATATGGAAAGCATTATCAATCCCTGCTCTGTCACATAAATATCAAAATATGGAATTCTTTGTTATTTGGGAATGTTATCTTCTTTGTTCTTTGCTTCTAAATGCCTTATTTGCTTGTTCTAGCCATACAATGTGATCTATAATTGGTCTCTTGAGTGGAATACAAATACTTCTAAATTTTTGAAACCACCAAACAAAGATTTAGTTCTCCATAGAAACAGAACAACCAATCACCAGAATATGTGTAATACTGAGACATTCACTATTAAAATGACAGCATTCATTTCAATGACCTGAAACAAAGATTCATCAAAAATAAAGAATACTTTTGCTGAACAAGCCTGAACTGCACAGCCAACTAGACATGAATTTACGACATAATCCTGGTTATAAATATGTTTATTTTTCTAATATTTAATTTTCCACACAAAAATTCCTAGGCTCTATAGAACAATTTTCTAATTTAATATAGGTACTGTAATTACTTTGTAGGATTTGAAAGCTGTTTTATGTATGCTATTCTGTTTTACTTAATCAGGGTTGACCTCTGGTTCAGGATGTGGGATTTCTAGCTTCTTAAGAATATTTATGGAAAAGATACTGGGATAGTGGCTGACTACAAACTGAGTATGAGTCAGCATTTGATGTGGCTGCCAAAGACAAATGCGATTTTAGACTGCATCAACAGAATAAAGTTTGGAAATCATGGGAGGTAAAGTTCCATTATGCTGATCAGCTGATGCCTGAATATTGTGTTCATTTCTGGATCCTATCTTTTAAGAAGGATTTAGATTAAGAGAGGGGAAAGAAGATGATGATGGAATAGTAATAAGATTTTGCAATGAAAGACTAAAAGACCTGGTTTTGCTTACACTAGAAAAGACCATAGGTATATAATCAAATATTTGAAAGGAGAAGAACACTGAGACCTGTTCTCTGGCAGCCCAGAGTGCAGGACATGTTGTAATGTATTTAACCCACAGAAATGTAATTTCTGATTGAATGTTGGAAAGTATTAGCTTCCACAGTTTAGAAAAAGAACAAATGTTCAAAGAAACTAGGATCTCTTCTTTTTCATTGAATGTACTCAAATATAAATTTAATTTGCTGCCTATTGGAAGTTCTTTAATTTGGATTTGTGTGCTGAGAAATGGATGGCACCTAGTGACCAGATGATTTCTTCAAAGTCTATGATTCTATAATTATATTTAGAAGAGTTCTTGGATTTCCATTCTTATATTGATTCTCATATAAAGATTCAGTATTTTTTTCAAACTCACAATTGCATGGATACCTGGACACATAGTTGCAAGTTGCAATGCCCTTTAATGATTAGCACATTCAGTCTGCAATCTCCATCTTAAATGTCTATGGAGATTCTCAGTCTTAAGTCTCCATTTTAAACTTTAAATCTCCATCTTTAAACTATAAACCTCATGATTAAAACAATTGTTCCATTTTATGTATTGTTTCCTTTAAATTATTTCGTGCCATGCCAATTTTTTTTCTAACAGTAATCATTCTGATGAATGAAAAAAATATCCCAGCTTTCTGAAGTAACAGCACATGGAAGCTGGGATCCAAAGTACATGTGAGTAAGAGTGGGTAGAAGGGATGATTTAAGGTCACTCTGCTGAAATTGCTTTGAGATAGACAAAGTCTACTAGGAAGAATGTTAGGAATGAAAATTGGGAGAGACCAGGGAAAGGTCTATTGTAGGAAGGACATGGCACAGCCTTGAAGATAACTTGGAAGTTATAAATGGCAAAGAATGTCGCTGCATGCTGGTTTAGCAGACTAACAACTGTATGTACTGTATGTACTAAATGCTGGTTTAGTAGACTGTATTGTGGGATACACTGGGGCTAGATGCTGCTTTAGGAGACTAACAGCTATATCATGGGACTACACTGATTGCTTGGAGCCCAATTCAAGGAGATAATATTTATATAAAAGTATGGATGCTTATTATTTGTGGGGCAATCTTTACCATTAGAATCTGCCCAGCCAAGAAAATTGCAGGGACATATTCAAGAAGTTACCAGGAGTCAATACCGACTTAAAGGCTCAATATATACACTCAATACATTTCAGCAATGTTTGTGTCTGTGAGTATGCATGCCTGTGTGTCACTGTGTTCACCCACTATCCAGGAGTTGTTCGATGGAGCAAAGCAGTTCCTTCTTGGTAGGAGTTTCCTCACTTTGTAACATCTCTTCTCCCCAAAACTAGAATTTCAACTTTAGAGAGTGAAACTCTTCTGCAGTATTTGATGTGGCAAATTGCATTCGCTGCAGGTGAAATGTTAATTATGATATCAGCAGCAGCAGCAGCAATCATCATCATCATCTGCCTAGATTCTTTCAAGTAGTTAACATATACATATACATATAGTTTACTGTATAAATAAGTATCAAAGATCAGGTGAATACATTGTCAGAAAAGCCTTATCCAATGCCTATGCCTTTAAGTTGTACTGATAGGAAAATTCATGGGGAAGAAGGTAAGGCAGACCTTCATGCTCTTAGACTCCATGTCATGGAATAGAAGAAGTAATATTTCATTGTGTAGCAGTCAACTCCATGTAACAAATGAAATGAGGAATCTGTGCTATATTATTATTACACTTTTTGCATGTCCAATAGAGATGGCACAATATTAAAGTCTGAAGAAGTAAACAGATCCCTCTCCCATTTACATACTGTACATTATACAGTAATTGTATAGCAATAACTATGGCATTAGTTATTTTTCTACCAAGAACTGATCTGCGTGTATGTATGTGTAGGTGACAGAGAGACAAAGAGGGGAGGGGAAGAGGGAGGGAGAGAAAGAAAGAGCGAGGGAGAGCGAGGGAGAGGGAGCGAAAGAGACTGTGTGTGAATGAAGGTGAGAATTACTGCTAATAAATTACGGTCTTTCCCTGTGGTTAAATAACTGGCCAAAATATTTGATTATTGCAGAATATAAATGCAATTAATAATTAATTTCAGGATTAGTCTGACTTCAAAGAACAAAGAAGGTAAATTATTGGACCTACTGTTGATGAACCCTGAATTAAAATTCTTAGAAAAACTTTTTGAGCAGAACACTTCTTCAGTAGTTGCTTAAAAATAATAAACTGAAATGATGTCTGTTGAAAGTTTCAAATTTGAAATTAAGATCAGAGTATTCAAGCTCAAAATAGATGGGGGTTTTTGTTTGAATTTTTTAAAAATCAATCTGGAAGTGCTTTAAAATTTAAGCAGTTCTACTTCAAAAGAAATAGGGTTTTTAACATAAAATGAGTATTTTTAAGCTTAGAATATTTCCAGAACATATATAAAATATTACATAAAATGTTGTGCACATCCTACTGGTTTTAAATTTACCTGATAATTAATTGTGAATAAATTTCTTAAATTCACAAAACAGATAAGAGCTGTGGTATTTAACATTTGGAAGCAAAAGCCATGACAATAGTATTTTTATTTAGACATTTTTCAGTTATATAAACTATGTTTATGTAAATACATATATAAATACAGACTTTCAAATATAGGGAAAAAGAGAATTTGTCACAAAACATTTTTTCAGGGCCATATGAGAATAACAATTATCATATTTAGGAGACTATAACAGATCACACAATTGAGAATACTCTTCAATCATTTATCAATAATCCAGAATTAATAATGTGTTCCACTACACCCATTTATTTCATTGCTAAAGAATTTGTATTAATAAATTATAGTGTTGCTTAATGAATTGCTATGAATGTGTTGACCCTGACTAGCAACCATGAACTGTATGTAGCTGAAATATGTAAAATTAAACAGATAATTATCAAAGAGAGGCTGGGATGAATGAAATTTGCCAACACAACAAATATATTCTGTTGGAAAGCCAGGAATAAAAATGGATGTTTTAAATATATTCATGACCTGCCAAAGAAGTCCAAGCTTGAAGTTAAATTATGCTAATTTCTTAGAGCATGTGCCTATATTTAAGTAATATTCTTAAAAATCTGCTTTAATTTACCACATACTTTAGCATAATAATTTTGGGATGTATCTTTAAAAAAAAGTTTAAACAAGATTTAAAGAGATTCCTCAGCCATGTTGAACAATTTCAGAAACCCCACTAGTCTGTGAAGATTTTTTTTTTTTTGGAGGAATGAATAACAAATAATCAAATTTTGTTTCAAACTTTGTCTTCATCTCTTGACATTTGATTATACCCTGCAGACACTCCTACCTTTTAGTGTTTGTTTTGCTTTGTTGCATATTATCATGAATATTCTTACTACTTGGCCAAGTTTGAATTGATAAGAGAAAATAGAGTGCATTACATAGGTGTTTTAATAACAATTACAGAATGGTTGCAAATTATTTTACAGAAATAAAAAACAAATTCTGGGTAATATACCTACTATACATGCTGTAGTACATAGTTAAGAGAAAGTATTTGAACTTGAAAATAACATTAGAAATAATATCACTAAATATACAGAGATTTGTCTAAATTGAATCTTGACAGACAGAAATTATAATCTACATATCACCTGGTTGATAAGGGTATTCTGTTACTGTTTATGTACTTAAAATACAGCTAGGCTTCAACTATTGTCCTAGACCATAAAAATATCAAATACACCTTTCTTCTCCTTGCAGTTTTTGCTTTGTGGAGTATGCGGAATATTCTGTGCCAAAAAAAAGTCAGGACTTATTGTAAGTGTTTTACTAAACTTTTCATAAGTATTCATAAGTGAAATGTAAGCTGTGCATATATTGACTCTTTATGATATTTCTTCATTTCTGCCATCAGACTCAAAAAGTTAGATATATATATAAGAATAGATAGATATATAATAGTTAGATAGATATAATAATCTAATAATAGTTAGATAGATATATAAGAAGATATATCTAAGTTGGAAAATTATATATATTTTCATCTAATGAAATGGGCACAGTAATTAAAGCCATTACATAAAACAAAGTACTCAGTCTATACTTCTCTTGACATTGTTCCAGTTTTGGATTGATAGCAAATATAGGACTGGACTGAATCATTTGGTGTTTCTGAACTATGAGATAAATTTCTTAGGGGTAAAGACAGACTTATTGAGGCTGTGGAATTTCCCGAGTAAGTAAAACTGCTTATAGGTAGTCCTCTAATTACAACAGAAATTGAGCATGAATTTATTTTAAGTTAAAGTTAATTTAATTTATTTTAAGTTATCTTAAGTTAAATAGGTCAGCTGATTTTATGTGATTACAGCTGATTTTATGGCTGTTTTTTTGTAGTGGCCATTAAGCAAATGGTGTAGTCATTAAATGAACATGTCATTAAATGAGGCTGTTTTCCCCAATGGCTGAAAATAGCCATAAATGTAAGCCAATTGCCAAGGGCTCAAAATGCAATCAAAGACTGGAGTCACATTAGAATTCTAAAATGGGTCGTAAATAGCTCTGTGGAAGTCCATCATAAGTTCAAGTGGTCACTAAAGCAATTGGTCATTAAGCGAGAACTACCTATATATTATATACTCATGACAACTAGATAGTAGTTGAAATTGCAGATAAACACATATGAAAAAGAAAGGCAATAATTAAATATTGATGTTAATTGAGGGAGAGTTGAAAAGATTATTTGTATCATCCTTTACCCTTATTCATCATTCTGCAGGTTTCCACTGCTGGCTCATAAAACAGCAGATCTTTCAAAAAGTTTGTTAATGAAACAGGCCTAAGCAAGAGATTTTAGCAAGCATCTAGTAGTGGTAGATTTATTCAGCTTCTCTGATTAATCTGTCTTTAATCATTACAGTTCCTATATGGCCATATGGCCAAAATTTAAGCAATCATTGAAAAATAAAACCCCAAGACACTGGAAGTGGTAGAGGAGCAAGATACACACACACACACACACACACACACACACACACACACACACGTGTGTGTGTGTGTGTAGCTCTTTGGTTATTCGGGTTTTCTCCCGCGTAAAATTGGAAGAGTCTTGGCGATCTTTCAACGAAGTCTCATTCGTCATCTTCAGGCTGGTGTTTTCGGCTTCGTGCTTCTAGGAGCAATGTGAGATTGCAGCTGTTTCTTCCTCCCGCCTACCAACCATTTGGAAACCCGCCCTTATTGACAAATAAGTCCCTAACACGAGGAATGACACCAGACCCACACTCATGAGGGCCACACAGGATGTCACCACCACACATCCACGCGGAAAGCAGACTCAAACCCACACCGATGATGAGGCATGACCACGGACCAGAAGCCAGACCGCAGCTGCATCATTAGCCACTTTAAACCCCTCCAATCCATACATGAAGCAGATTGACACCCACCATGAAGATGTGGCACGACCACGAACACAAAGCCAAACAACAGTAACGCAGCTCACCAGCTCAAATCCCCCTGCAACTCAGACTAACCCGAGCACAACCAAGCCCCCACCGAAACAGAACACCCCCCCCATCCAATCAGAGCACAGCCAAGCCCCCAACCAATCAAAACACACATCCACCCAATCTGAACACAGCCAAGCTCCCACCCAATCAGTTCACACCCCCACTAGCAGTTAAAAGGAAGAAACAGCTGCAATCTCACATTGCTCCTAGAAGCACGAAGCCGAAAACACCAGCCTGAAGATGATGAATGAGACTTCATTGAAACGTCGCCAAGACACTTCCAATTTTACATGGGAGAAAACCCGAATAACCAAAGACCTACATACAAACACCCGTGAAAACCTCAGAAAGAAATGTGTGTGTGTGTGTGTGTGTGTGTGTGTGTGTGTGTGTGTGAGTGTGTGTGTGTATGCCCTACTTTCACTTTTTGTATCTTCTTCCTTTTCAGGTAGTTCAAAATAAAAAATCTTCCAAATGTACTTGGTGTTGGTTGCTTTGGTATGGTGTGATGTGATGTACTCCAAATTGCTGTTGGTTAGCTAGTCCAGTATATTATTTGCCTGAGACGTATTGATACTGAACAGCACAGTTCCTAGCATAGTATATGCTTGACCACAAAAATCATTATTTCACCATTACAGCAAGTAAAAAATGTATACATATTTTTCTTGCTATGAAGTTTCCAAATAACAATTCTTGTTTACCAGTAAAACATTGAATGGAAATGGGAAACAATGCCATAAAGGGAAGGACACGCTTTAATCAGTCCATATTTTGTAGGTCAGCATTAAAACAGTGACATTCAATTTTAATTTTGTTAGCTGAAACAAAAAAAAAATATAGTAAACAGAGGTAGAATAGTCACTGAAAAGTTTGCAGCTGCTACTCTCATTGTTCAAATGTATTTTTATCAACATGTTTGATTGATTTTTTTTATCTGGCGGTTGAGTTCAAATGAATACATAACTGAGTTGCTTTCTCCATCTTATCATCTCATAGTAATGTGAATTTTTCTTTCCTATCAGATGATACTTTTCTCTGCTTGCTGTATCTGTGGGTTAATTGGAGGAATATTAAACTTCCAGTTTCTTCGAGCTCTAACAAAGAAATCCTCAGCTCTCTATCCCCTACACCTTACCTCCATGTCTCTAGCATGCATTGGAATTGGTGGTTGTACTCTTTCTTCATGGCTAACTTGCCGACTAGCCAGCTATGAACAAAGAAGAATGTTTTCAGAAAGAGAACATTCATTACATCACTCTCATGAAATGGCTGAAAAAGTAAGTTCACGTGTGTTTTTTTGTTATGCTGTTTTTTTAAACATTTTTTTCTAATATATACAGGCAACCATACAAGAAAATTGTCTGATCGATTTGTAAGTCACTGGAAAATGATGCACATCTATGCAATATCAACTATATTACAATTTAAAAAGTTATGTTTAGTTATTCCAGCTTTTCTAGTACTCTCATTTCAATAAAATGCATCCACTAATTACATAGCTCCATTGTGTAACTATAATGCTTTGCACTAAATATAGAGCTCCTTGGCCTAAATAAGCTAATGGCTGTATAATTGTATATCTGTTCCACTTCCTGCATGAAAATATATTTTATAGTCAGTAGAGCTGGAGCTTACCAAAGATTAAGATCATGTGTAGGAGGACAAGCAACACAATCTGCAGCTACATACAATGAACGTGTCATTGGATTGTACCACTTTAGGTTGCTGATGGGAGAGCAAATGATTATATGTCTTCTGATTAGTTCTTGGGCTACCTTTAGTATAGCTAAGGATAAAGAGCTATTTTGAAAAAAAAAGACAAATTTTCCAATTTCAGATACCTATTTTAGCAGGTATTTCAGATACCTATTTTTTTTTCTCGTGTTTTTATTAGAAACTTGTGTATGTATGAGACCTGAAACATTCAGCTTACTAAATACCTATATTTTGCTGCTGAATCTCAGAAAAATGACCCGAAGGATGTCTGAGACTGTCTGCAGATTGTGTGCTGCCCATCCTTGCCCTACTGAGGAAAGAGTAGGATGTTCATTTGGAAGCTGAAAAGTACTGCATTGAACAGAAAGTACAACTTTGTCTAATACTGATATGCACAAAAACATATACAAATGATTGTGCTTTATTTATAATTTATTTTGTATTAGAGATTAAGAGGTATTGAAATAATCGAACTGCCCAGCTGCCCAGTGATACCCCCAACACCAGAATTACCTCCAAGGTATGCTGAATTCTAGGGAATTATGATGAATTAGAAATGTTGCTTTTAACAGAAACGCATAAACCAATCTTACTTCGTGCTTTTAAAGAAAATTCTTAACTTGATTATTTTCAGAAATCTTCATCCATATTATAGGAAAGACTTTATTAAAATCTATGTAGAATAATGCTAGAGTTGGAGGCTTGTTGCTCAATATACCGAATATACAAATAGCTTGTTTACACATATGCAAACACATATATATACTGTATACTCTCTCTTTCTCTCTCCACATATATTATTTTTCTAATCAACCAGTTTGTCATAGCTTCATACATATTGCATGCATAATTACTATAAAAAATTCATAAAAAGGAAAAATTGTTAAACAATTGGTGGCCAGTGGTCAGTAATAATAATGATTTGGGTATAAATATACATAAGTAAATATAAGTAAATAATCGAGGAAAAAAGCTAGGGCTTGTAGAGAAAAATTTACTAGTAGAGAAAAATTACAAAATTACTACTATGAAACAGGGTATTTGCTTACATAATTATTATACTTCTTCAATTATCCTATTTTACACTTAGGCTATATAACTCTGTCCCTGTTGTTTGACTGGCCCAAGGTCACCCAGCTTATTTATTTATCTGCACACACACACGTACAGAGGTAGATATTTTTTAGAAAATATTTCTATTTTGTATGAAAATCATAAAACGGAAGAGGGAATGAGGACAGGAGGAAGAGCCACTGCCAAGGTGCAAAGGTAGATAAATGGGCTCAGACCCAGACCAAGAAAGTAACCTGAGGAAATGTCTCAAATAACCTCTTCCTAGTTCACACAAAGATAAAGGAGAAAGGGGGAAACACATTCAAACTTGCAAGTTTTGTTGCCCTAGTTGTTATAATAAAATAGTCCTAAACCAACCTAAATGGCATTGGTTTCTTAGTTTGGACTACATTGTACGGCTAACACTCTTCAAGTAAACACGCACCATGATTCCCTGTTTTATATATTGGGACAGTGACTTGGTTGAGGCCTGAACTCATTTTATGAGACCGACTTGCGTTATCTCCATCCATTGTTTCAAAACTAAAGAAGGTGAATTTATGCATCTCACTCTGTTTCACAGCAGACAGGTGTCTACATCACCACACCCTCACCTCAATCAACATTATCTGACACCTTATCTGGAAATCCCAGCTGAGTCCAAGGTATGGGCATTGGAAAGTGTTCTAGCATCATCTCTTTTGTCAATGAACATGTGGTCCATTTCCTTAGGTTGAGATAAAAGTGGAGATGGGATAAACATAGAGGAAAAATAGTTTATGGCAACCATTTCAGATGCTGCTTCTTACAGGAAAAAAGATTTTCCTACATGTGCTGCTACTTAGGATATTAGTTGGTGTATGAATAACAGTTGTAGACAAGTGTAACACAGCCAGGAAAGGAATCATGCCAGAAAAGATTCAAGATCTAGGTCTGGCTAGGCCCACTTTGAAAAGAAGATGAAATATAAATAAAAGCTGAAATGAGAGGTAACCAAGAATAAAATAACAAAAATAATCATAAATGCCTCAATCAATGAAAAAGTCTGAAGATCAGTAAGCCTATTTTATTTCAATGTCTCTTGCAGGCAATCAAGGTGTCTTTATTTTAATATTTTGTATATGTGCTAGAATGGCTAAGGTCAATTTGTGAAAAAGATTGTGCTCTGCATACTTATAATTTTCTGGCTGAAGCATGACTTTCACTAATCTCTCATATTTTCGTTATGTCACATCATATTCTAGATATGTAAGCTCAACATTGGCTTCTGTAAGCAGTCTGAGACTTTGGGGTTGAATAAGACCAAAGCTTTCCCCATAATAACCCAATTTATCACATTGTACATCAGTTTACTTATAGACTCATTCTTTTGTGGAAAATGATCCTTCAAAGCAGGGGTGTGTTCTAAATTTTTTTACTACCAGTTCTGTGGGTGTGGCTTATTTTGTGGGTGTGGCTTGGAGGTCATGTGACTAGGTGGGCGTGGCTAGCTGGTCAGAGTCATTTCTGGAAGGTCCTCGCACTTATGACCAGTCCTCGCACTTACAACCCGACTCATTTGTTTGCTTTTAACACTGATCAGCTGTAGGACGGCCCTTTGAAGCCCCGCGGCAAGAGTTTAAACAGTTTTTTTCCCTCTAGTCATCAGATGGGACTCAGGAGGCAGCAATAGATTGGGGGTGGGACCAAATAAAAGGTAAGAATAACGGGGGTGGGGGGTGGGAGGGCGGGGGGGAGAACCGGTTCGGTGATGTCATATCGTCACCGCTACCGGCTCGGCCGAACCAGACCGAACTGGGAGGAACCCACCACTGCTTCAAAGTAATGCTTACATGGGCCAGATGTTAGCTACAAATGTGTGCTGTTTAAATCTGGGCTAGGTTATTGCAGTATAACTGACTTTGATTACCCATTTCAATTCTCACAGGAAATGACAGATAACATGTGTAATGGAGGACCACATTTAATTTATAATGGAAGAGCATACTGAAATATTTACAATGTTTAAAGAACAACTATGTTTAGGATTTTCTTCAAGAAGAAAATTCAGAAGCCAACAGCTTGGAGACAAGGTCCTAAAACATTATGGTTCTAACTTGCAATAATTTCACAACTTCAAAACAACAACAGCACAGTCACATTTTCTTTCAGAGATTTGCTTTGATTTCCATTAACTGAAGATATATAATTGCACATTTGGAAGATAAGTATTATCACATTTGATTTTTTTTTTTTGCCTGAATAATTTTTAATGGCTGTGATAATATACAAAACTAATTTTTCAGATTTTACTCAGATTTTTTTTTTTAGGAATTACTTTTTGATTTAAAAAAAAAATCCCACTGCTATAAAAAAAATAAGGGGATTTAAAAATTGGATTGCACACTAACAGGAAAAGAATTTGGACATGAAAATGTTGTCTTTTCAATGCAAAGTGTAATGAATGAATCTGCTCTCCGCGCTGCTGTGTTTTGAAAAATGGGAAGTTTTAAGGATGCTATGTGGTCAAACAATGTTTTGCTTTTAAAAAATGTACATTTTTTTCAATTTATGAGGTATTTTTCCTAATTTGTTCATAAAAGATGTGAAATAAAATGAAACATAGGAATGGGATTATTTTTTTAATCATTTTAACAATTTTTACAATGATCTACAAATCCAAGTGAGACACAAGGGGAAGTTGTAATTCTCAACCAAATTTAAGGCAAGTGTTCAGAAAACTTTCAAACCCTCTTTATTTACCGTAACTACAGTTCATACAGTATATTCTTGTTTTACTATATTTGCATCTCTTAGCAGATGAAAGTTTGTCATCAATATTATGCATTAGAAATAAACATAACAGTCTATTATTATATAATATTAATAATACTCATAGTACTATTACCTCTTCCATAATCAACTGAGATACCCACCAATTACATAGTCATAAAAAGAACAAATACAAAGAAAAATACAAACACTGATGATACAATATGCAGAAGGATGATATAAATTTTGAACCTCAACTCAATGGTAAGACTTTCAAGATGCCAACTAGAGAAACTAGAGTTATGAACAGTAATGACAAACCTATGAAATGCTTGTTAAAGATGGCATATCACAACATTTTGGGTGACAGTTCAGCATCCATCAATACCCAACAACTATTCTTGAAAATATGCTCTATTCTCATGTGATTTTTGGTGGCTGTAGAAGCACCTGAGAATGGGCGGTGCTCTTAAGTGGCTTCTGAATTCTGTAGAAGTCATTTTTGTATAGCTTCTGCAGTCTTCGAAAATCAAATGAGAATGGGTATGCTTTTGCAGTTTTCAGAGGCTGCACAATGTTCTAAGTTAGAAAAATCCTCCACATTTCTCATAGGTGATTACTCCAGAATCCAAACCTAGCATCCGTACCCCAAGTTGCAAAGATCCGGGATTTCTTCCATTTTTCTGCTGTTTGGGTCAGAAGTCATCCAATTTTATGGAGTTCTGTCAACTTTCCAGGTTAGTTACTGCAGAGGCTCCTATCCCAGCATCACTGCTGCTACATTGGGTAATAATTGTCCAGTAAACAACAACTGGAATGCTTGAAATTGCTTATGGACAGAAGATGATCTGGCCTACACCCAGTTTGTGAATTGCAATGGTATGATTGCTGTTACTTTTTGAGACACACAAATCTTACTATGTATGTTTGTAAAAGCAGGATAAGGGTCAAGGACAATAAACTTAGTATAATTAAATTACTTTTTCAGACATTGCTGCCAAGTTCATAGAATATAGATAAATAGGCAAAAGATTTTGTAATTAATCTCGTTTTACCATAGAGACTGCTAAATTAGAAGCTGCCAAAAATAATATTCATGTGACACCCTTTCATTAAATATAGATCTGTCAGTGTTTCATAAATATATTGTTGGAATTTTATTGATTATTTCCCCCATTTCTAGAAACATAATATTGTCTCCTTTATTAGAAATACTAAACATATATAATTGGCATGGTAAGTATAATCTAAACTGTGAAGGTAAAGGGAAGCAAGAAAACCAACTAACCCAGGACCTTGTTTTCATTTCCATTTCTATGCTCCCTATTATTGTTTTTCCAACTTGCATCAACTGAAATATGCCCTTATCATTTGTTGACATCTTCTATAGACTTTCTCCTACTGTTCTTATCAGACAGTAATGCATGAAGTGAAGACAGGAATGAATCTCACACAATTTCTTCTCCATCTCACTTGTGCAATAATCAAAGAAACAGAGAGCAATCTCTTTGTTGCAGAACAAGTTGCATCTTTTACTATATGTAGCTTTTCGTGATGCATTCCTTTTCATATGCAACTGAATAAACATATCTTTATACATTTTTGGAATTCACTACACTGGGCATTTACCTGAATTTTGCAATCTGAGCAACAAATTAAAAAATAATTTATTTATAAACATTGATCAGATAAATTCCTTAACTCATTCTTAGGTTTAAAAAAATCAAAATATTGAGTTAAAGCACAAATGTATTGTTTTTATACTTTCAGTGTCACTCCTTAAAGTTTTTATAACATTTATGTCTAATATTTAATTTAATTTAAATTAAATTAAATGATACATGATTCTTAGCTTGCCCCTTCTCCCACTTTTTGTCCTGCTGTCCAGCAAACTGTAGGGATAGCATAAACTTTTTCACACCTTTAATCTTTTATTTAGATTCTTCTCTACTTTGATCAAGTTCTAGCCAAAATAATAAAATTATTTCAGTCCATCTAGTCCTTTGTGTAATTTTTTTGCAGTCAGCTCAGTTCCTTTTCTCCTTGGAATCTACCTTTTCTGCCACTGTCTGTTTGTTTTTCTTTTCCAATTTCCATTTTTTGAGCTGACTAATTTCTTGGCAGCTTCACTTTGATAGTCTTCCAACTCTCTCTCCTGGAATTTGGGAAACAGAAAGAAGTAGAATATAACTAGTTAATTTTAAATGCTAGGCTTAATTGTCTTAGATACTATCGCTGTACACATGCTGTACAGAGATTTGTTCTGGAAATAAAAAAATGTATTTAAGTACAAATAGTTAATTGATCATCTATAATTAGCAATTTATAATGATATTCATGCCTAGCACACTTCTAACTAGAAGTTTACCGAGAAGCAAGAATTTTGCATCAACCATTGCCAACTTGTGAATGAGTCACCATTGACATTAGCTTCAGACATAATCATCTGAGATATTCTTGGTTTCAAAGCCCTAGACTTTGACCCTGAGGTCCACTATAAATGCACCACTGTTAGAATGACCCATTCAATTGTTGTCACCCTGGGATGCCTACAGAGCAATGGTGAATTTGACCTCATTTGCTGTATTTGTTCAAGCAAAAGCCATCAAGGATGTTAAAATGGAACAAATAACAGCACAGCCATTTCCCTTCTGATCTGCTTGAGGCACTACTTTCTGGATAATTGGTTTCACTCTTAAACTTTAATAACTGTTTTGAATAGGAAGATATGATCATTTATGAGACAGAAAATCTCACATTTTTAAAAACTGTCACTATAATAACAAGCTCTTTAGTAACAAATCAATGTTTTAATTTAATATGTTTTATGTAACACTTACCAATTATTTTATTTGTTTAACTGTTTAATGCTAAATTTGGATTTCATTTGTACTTTGCTTATTAGAGTTTTTATAAAATAAAACTAAATGAATAAAATTAATAGAAAGATCTTTGTAATAGCCATGCAATTTATTTTGCACATAAATCAGAAATTCCCACAAACATGTCCCATTCTTGAAGCAAGGAGGATAACAAAGTAAATAATTTATCTATAGCTACTCTTTCTCCAAACTTGCTGCTCAAAATGGGCATTTCTTTAACCACAGGGCCACAGATGTGAAGTACTCTAATTGCATCATTAGATGCAAGTTATTGAAAAAGTTATTGAGGCAAGTTATTGAAAAAGATTTCAGCAGGATCCAGCATGATTCTTATGTTTTAATAATTGTTTAATTTTAAAGATATATGATACTTGACTATTTTGTGAAGCACTCAAAATAGGAACAAGCTGCATAAAAAGATTTTAAAAAGGCTAGAAGGTTTACTTTTCATTATGTGGATTAATCCTAAAATGCTGATTACTATTCTAGTCACAGGTAGTCTACAAAAGGCTTAATCAAATAAATTTCAATGTGTCAGAATGATCTTAAAAATTCTCATCCCACTGTATATTAACATTTAGACAAGCTATAGAATATTTATGCCTGATGACTGATGGAAAATGAGTTATGTATTTTCACAAGACAAGATAGTTTAAATTTTAACAATCAGAAGAGAAAGTTCCAGATTACAAGTAGCAAATTGTTTTTTGTGATTTATGCTTAAAATTTTACATTGACATGTCCTGAATACATATTTATGGCATTAAGATGAATTAGCTCAGAAAGATTTTGAAAGATTTTCACAAAGACGTTCATTAATTTATACCTACAGTATGCACATCCAGAGGCCTGGGTTTTGCCTTAAAAAGTTATTTCTGAGCTGTCAAACTATCAAGAATTGAAACACAATTGGATGCTGACTAACACATTTTATAATATCTTGGTTGGGCAAGTTTTCCATTTTTAGATGACACACTGTAACTATAGTTTCCGTTCACCATATGATATATGGGACTTTGAACAGAATTTATTTTTGGGACTGAAAGGAAAAAGGAAATTTTAGAGTCTGCTGTCTCCTACTTTTACCAGCTAAAGATCCATTCTTAAATGGAAATTCTGTTGTTTTCTTTTTGAGAACACAGTGTAAAGAAAAGCTTTGTATCAATTTCAGGCTCAGTCTGACCATTTTCACTTTTCTAGGTTCTGTTCTAACAAAGGACTTCTTCCTGTTTATGGAATGAAAGAAACAGATTTATGTTCAGATCCATAAATGCTCTCAGAGCAGAGCTTCTCTACAGATACAGATAATTGTGGCATGAAGTTAAAAAAAGAGCTAGATTTATTTTATCAATGCATTTGTTTCCATTCCTAAAATTTCCTTGTATAATCAACATCCCTATTTATTTACTTATGACTATTTTTTCCCATCACAGAAATAACTACACTAGTAAAGGTATGGTACACATTTAATGTGGCTTGTTGGGCAAGCATTTTAAATAAACAATTTGTAATTTATTTAACAAACCATGGCTTAACATTACACATATGCTTCCATCTTAGTGGAACATTACCTCCGAGGACATAAAATAATGTCAGGACCTGCCTGATTATTTTCAGCGGAAACTCCTGGGTGACAGAGGGATGCTGACCCATTCATTGTCGGGCCAGCCCTGGACCGTCTCCCAGAGCCCCCCCCTCTTTTTTCTATGTGGGTACTTTATGCCTGGAAGACCTGAAGGTGGCTAAGGAGATGGGAAGGGGATTGTGGTGTCTACCATGGGAGCTTTGCTCTGGTATGTCACTGCCTTACTCCACCTCCCCCCCTCCTGTATTTTCATCTCCTGTGCCCCTTTTGTGGCCAGATATTCAGCCTTTTGTGATCATTTGCTATCCAGGTTTGTTGTTTCCTGTGTGTCAGGATAAGAGTTTCCCTACTTTTATGTCATCTGAGTCTCCCTGGATTCGCCTACTACATATATGAGACTATCCGTGTCTCTGAACCCAAGGATTGGCTATTCCATCTGTGCCTAGGTACAACATTGAAAGAACCAGACTAAGGCTGCTCATTCCTCTCCCTTATATCTGGTTGCTGTGAGAGGGTGACCGATGTTTACATCTGAGTTCAAAATGGCTTAAGTTTTCTACCACTGATGTGAGAGGTCAGTGGAACTAAAATGACTTGTACCTCTGATTGATACTCTCTCCACGGGACCCTGGATAGCTAGGACATGCCACCAGCTGTGGACTATCTAGCTACAAAATATACTCGTTGGGAGAACTCCTCAAACTGCAAGATTCCCCTCTCTTGCAGGTTTGGCCCTCTGCTTTATCGAGGGCCTATCTCAATGACGGACTTTGGAGTCCGGAGAAATGGCATACAGCAAAAAGAGGGTTATGGGTTTTTTAAGGGAAATTTTTTAATAAGATTTTAAGGGATTCTGGGAGGGGGGTAGGTTGCATGGGTTTGGGGGAAAACGCGCGGGGGAGGGTATCTGGGCCAGCTGAGGGGCGCGGCATGGGAGGTGCGGACTCAGGAGTCAAGGAGGGGGTTAGAGCTTATGATGCAGATGGCCATGACATCGATACTGTAGGTGGGAGGGGCAGATATGGTGGGAGCAGGGGGCCACATCATTTGGTGGGAGTGCGTCCTCGCTGGTTGCAAGCGGTGGCACGCTCCGGCCCCCAAAGCTCTTCTCGTTCCCCAGGTTGTACGGACCCTCAGGCCCCAGGCCTTCGGCTGATGCTGTGCAACGCCAGGTCCGTGGTAAATAAAGCCCCCCTCATTTGTGACCTTATTCAGGAGGGGGGTGCGGACCTGACGGGTATTACGGAGACTTGGTTGGGCCAGGAAGGGGGAGCCCCCCTTATTGATATGTGCCCACCCGGTTTCTGTGCATTCCATCAGCCAAGGTCACAGGGGAGGGGCGGGGGGGTGGCGGTTGTCATTAATGAGGGACTTGGACCGAGGGAGGCCACTGTTCCTCAGATGGCTGGATGCGAGTCCCTCTTTGTGAAGTGGGGTCATAGGTGCAGTTGGGCTTGCTAGTCACGTACCTGGCTCCCTGCTACGTGACAGCAGCCCTGCCCGAACTGCTCAACGTTATAGCCGCGGTGGCGGTTGACACCCCCAGGCTTATGGTCATGGGGGATTTTAACCTGCCATCAGTCGGCGAGACATCTGAGGTGGCTTGGGAGTTCATGGCTTCCATGATGGCCATGGACCTGACCCAGTTAATTTATGGCCCTACTCACATGGGGGGACACACACTGGACCTGGTTTTTGTCTCTGGACAGTGGTTGAGTGATCTTGAGATAGGGGATATAGCGATTGAACCCTTGTCATGGTCAGATCACTCCCTCCTTCGCCTGGACCTTCGAACCGCCACACCCCGCCGCAGGGAGGCGGAACCAACCAGGTGGCTCCGCCCCAGGCACCTGATGGATCCTGATAGATTCCAGATGGAGCTTGGGCCATTTCCTGAGGTTCTGGCACACGACTCGGCTGAGGACTTAGTAGCCGCCTAGGATAGGACGGCTGCTGGGGCTTTGGACCGAGTCGTGCCTTTGTGGCCTCTGACCTGGCGCCGGTCTCACCTGGCTCCTTGGTATACTGAGGAGCTGAGGGAGATGAAGCGCCGGAAAAGACGCCTAGAGAGCAGTTGGAGGGCTAGTCGTTCTGAATCCGACCGGACACTGGTAAGATCTCATATTAAGAATTACCTAGTGGCGATAAGAATAGAGAAGAGTGTCACTGCGTTATTTTATTTCCCAGCTGAGCTTCATTATTTTTGGACTAA